ACATCTTCGTTACTAACAGGATTTTTCCCCATTTTTTATTCACCATCCAGCCTTCCTTTCCATTGCCACTGCCTGTGGGAAATAATTGTATTTTACTATGATTGGTTTAAGGGAAGTCCCCTCTGCCCATTAATATTTTAGTTTCTCTGTCTCTCTAAAAATAGGTCCCTTTCACTCTCCAACAAAGAGATGGGCTCCCCATTCTTGTCATCCCCAGGGATCTTTCTTCAGGACTTAGCTGTGGAATTGTTGTATAAAAATATGGAAGTTTTCTTCATTTGGGGACTGAAATTAATTACTGGTGTGGGTTGGGTTTTTTTAATTTCTTTTTTATTTCTTATTCACAGCTGTGACTCACTTCAGTTCCGCGTGGGGCTGTGGGAAGTTGTTAACTAAAGACAGCTTTAAATCAGTGGTAGGGGGATTGGCTGAAAAGAAATGCCAACTGTGAGCTGAAAAGAAAGGGATTCAGAATGGTTAGGTAGGGGGAGGGGGAGGGCTTGGGGAAGGGCGTTGGGATCATTTTGCCTTTTGTGTCTTTGAGAGACAAATGTGGTTTAGGGGAAAGTGAGCTTGACCTGGGATAAACAGATACCCGGGTTCAAATCCTGCCCTGGACACTGACAAATGATTTTGGTCACCTCCTAAAGCACTGGAATGTCAATTTGATGGTTAATTAGGGGACAGAAACACAATACCTAAAGAAAGCTCTGACCCTGTATTTTCACTTCTACTCCTATAAAATGCCCTCATTTTGGTTTATATTTAACTTAGTAATTATGCTTCTCATTGACTCAGTAAGAAAAGGTTCATGAATTTGGTTGTGATCTTTGTAAAACTTTGAAAGGCAACATGGTGATGTGGACAGAGAAGTACCCTTGGAGACAGGAAGACCAGCCCCTGACACATATTGACTGTGTGACCCTGGGAAAGTCACTTAACTTCCCAAGGGTCTAGATGAGGCTCTGAGCTTCAGAGAAGGTGCCAGCCTGCACTGGTAAAGGGTGTTTCCCTGTCTCAGTGAGATCCCCTGTCCAGCCCTCAGTCCTATTCCTCATCATGATATTTTTAGGCAGATAGTGAATTACTATTGCCATTTTACCAATGAAGACACCAAGGATATGAGAGGCCAAGTGACCCTTGTGGTCATCTAGCTTTTTAAGTCCTGACTTCCAAACCAGAATTTTTCCTGTTCTTGAAATTGCTTCTCATACTATGCCAAGGTCCTGGACATGAGTTCGGGTCTAGACAGCACCACCTACAAATCATTTTGCATCTCTGAGGCTCAGTCTCCTCCGCTGTAAAGTAGGGGTGGTGACAGTTACACCACCTACCTCCCAAGATGGTTTGAAGGAAGACAGTTTGTAAAATTTAAAGTCCCTTAAATTTGAGCTAAGGTGGGAAAGAATTTCAAGGAGGAGCATGTGGCCAGCAGCCACACGTGCTGCAGAAGGTCCAGGCTGGTGCACACGGAGAAAAAGTCATTAGATTTGGAAGAAGGAGGTCATTTGATTTATTCTAGAGAACTGCTCCAGTCAGATGATGATGGTAACAGAAGCTGGAATGGGTGGTATAGGGGGAAGAATAGGGCTGCAAGGTGGCACCATACTGAATAGAACATTTGAACCTGAGTTCAAATTCAGCCTTAGACACTAACTAGCTGTGTGACCCTGGGCAAGTCCATTCACCCTGTTTGCCTCAGTTTCCTCATCTGTAACATAAGCTGGAGAAGGAAATGACAAACCATTCCAGTATCTTTGCCAAGAAATCCCCAAATGGGGTCATAAGAAGTCCTGACGTAAGTCAAACACCTGAACAACAATAGGGGGAAGAGTACTGTCTTTGAAGTCAAAGGACCTGGGTTCAAATCATGGTTCTGTTACTTACTTGTGTGGCCTCGGACTCTTTCAGGGCTCTAAGCAACTCTCTGAGACTATAAGTCATAAAGAATGTGCCAACTGACATTGACAAAGTGAATTTCCTCTGCTAATGAATCTTTATCCTTTTCTAAAACTTGGGATTTTTAAGACAATATGATAAAGAAGATGAGGCCCAACCTTGGGGCCATGAAGACAAGGATATAAGTGGGGCCTTTCTCACATACTGACTGTGTGACCCTAGATTAGTAGGTGACCCTTCACCTTTTACTGCCCAGTTCTCTAAGACTATAAATTTCAGTGCACTTGCCACTTGGCATCATTGTAGGAAGTTCTTTGTTGTTGAGTCATTTCAGTTTTGTCTGATTTTTTGGGACCCCATTGGGGGCCTTCTTGGCAAAGGTACTGGGGTGGTTTGCCATTTCCTTTTCCAGCTCATTTTACAGATGAGGAAATTGAGGCCAACAGAGTGAAGTGACTTGCCCAGGATGACCCAGCTAGTAAGTGTTTGAGGCAGGATTTGAACTCAAGAGGATGAGTCTTCCTGGTTCCGAGCCCAGTGTTCTGTCCTGAGTATTTCCCACACCAATGAAATCACAGGTATAAAAATAATAATTAATGTGATCATTTTTAATTATTGTGATATCATAAGGCAGGCCCTTTAATTATCCAGATGTGTTTTGTGAAACTTCTTTGTTTGCATGATTAATTCACATGATTTTTGCAACATGAAACTGATTTTTAATGGGCAAAATAATGAGTGGAAGCCCAATTGTGATTAAAAATTCTACTGAAGTTTCATGTTCTCTTACTGTCAACACATGATCTAGACTAGCCTTTTTAATTTTGAGCCCATGAAGTAAGAATATATCAAACAAATTAACCAGGAATGATGGGCCCAAGGCAGGTTCTAATGAATTGAGTGGCTCATTTACGTCCTAGATGATGTTTTGTCCTACATATTTTGAGGAATATTTAAAATCATTTCCCTAATACATTCCAGTGAAAATACCTTGGGGTAGGAGATTATCATACTTAGAGTTATATCACCAAGCATACACCACACTTAGGCAGATACTGACTTTCGTTTTAGACATAAGCATTCTGTGTTGGCAATACTGAGTTAAACTGGGAAGCAACATCACTTTTTGTGGAGTGATCTCACTTTCCAGATGTTAAAACTGACTGACGATGGACTTTTAAGGAAAGCATTTTTTTAAATTTCACTAATAAATTTGTGAATCAGAATCTCAGTATGAATTTTTATTCCATTTTGAATACAGATCTGTCATTTCTATTGGTAACTCTCAACAAAGGGCAGCTAGGTGAAGCAATAGATAGAACATGGGGTCTGAAGTGAGGAAGACTCATCTTCCTGAGTTCAAATCTGGCCTCAGACAGTTCCTAGCTGTGTGACCCTGGGCAAGTCACTTCACCCTGTTTGTCTCAGTTTCCTCACCTATAAAATGAGTTAGGGAAGGAAATGGCAAACCACTTTTGTATCTTTGTCAAGAAAACCCCAAATGGGGTCATGAAGAGTCAGACACAACTAAACAAAAACAAGGAAAGGTTTCCTTCTCCCAATACAGATTTGCATTTGTTTTTCACTTTTAGTCATATAGAATCACCTGAGACACAAAATGATTTGCCCAGGGTCAAGCAGCAAAAAAATAGAATTTGAACCAAGGACTTTGTTTCTTTGTGGCCAGCTCTCTACCCATTATCCCACATTCCTTCATATAGTTGAACAACTGTGTTGTTCTCTTGCGATATGGGAGATCTCTTTCTTCTTTGGAGTGATATTCTGCTAGGGTGTTGCTTAAAGACATCCAGAAGGAACGGGGGGGGGGGGGAGGGAGGGAGGGAGGGAGAGAGTGAATATATGAGAGAGAGAGAGAGAGAGAGAGAGAGAGAGAGAGAGAGAGAGAGAGAGAGAGACAGAGACAGAGAGAAGAGACAGAGAGAGGGAGAGAGAAGAAATAGTGAAGAGACAGAGAGAATGAGACAGAGAGACAGAGAAAGAGGTGAGCTTGAAATTCTGCACCTTAAAACATAGGCAGAAGTTAGTCATTTGGATGAGCCTTTCTGAGGAGAGCTGTGCCTTCCACCTCTACCTCTGTGGTTCTCGCATCTATGACTATAACTCAGATAGAATACATGCAGAAGCGCACCCGTTAATGGAGAATGGATTCCTCTGGTGCACTGACTTTGAGGTAGAGGGCCACCAGTGGGTTGGGGCCACAGTCTGAGTCCCCCAAAGATAAAGTGACTTTCCAAGGTCATGCAGGATAATGTGTGCAAATGAAATAATACATATGAAGTTCTTTGCAAGCCTTAAAGTACTCTACAGATGCCAACTACTACTATTTCCTGGTCCAATCACCTCACTTTCTGGATGTAAAAGGGAGCAGTCTCAGAGACATTCATTGCCTTGCCCCAGAGTCACATTGTTGTTAGTAAAGGTCAGAGCCAGGATTTGCACCCAAGTCCACAGCCTCCAAATCCAGAGCTCTTTCCATTTCACCATGTCCCCATTGCATGGAGGTACAGAGCTCATAATGATGGCTTCCCTGGAGCCTGGTAAAATCTTAGAAAACATAAAAAATTGAATGTAAATTTTTATTGGAATAGTTTCAATTAGTAGTGGCCAACAAGTATTGGTCCTAGAAAGCTCACACAGGTATGGTGGAAAGTATATGGTGGTTGAGGGATTGGGGCAGTCAGAAACCGAGTCTAGAACCAAAGCATGCTCACTGCTCACTATGTGTATGATTTGGGAATCTCTAGGCTTCCATTTTCTCCTTTGTAAAATCATGCGATTGGACTAGTTGACCTTCCCAATCCCTCTCAGCTCTGAACTTAGAACCACATGGGCTCTCTGGGCCTCAGTTTCTTTCTCTGTAAAATGAGGAAGTTGGAACAGATGACCCCCTTAGGTCCCTTCCAGCTGTAAATCTACTATCCTAAGCCAAAAGCCCATGACTAAGCACCAGGCTTCCATTTGCTGCCATGCTCAATTTTATTTGTCTGTCCACTTTTCTTGGGCTACTCTTCCCCACTGCATTAGCCCGTCAATCCGTGACATCGCCTTATTAAATCGAACTTATCGATCATTCTTGCCAGGGATGCCGTCGCCAACTACACTAAAGAAGTCAGAGAAGTCTGGTTTCAGCAGCCCCTCACCGTCGCAGACCTCCTCCCTGGGAACGGCATTCACACAGCATCATCGGCCTGTCATTACAGGACCCAGAGGTGAGGCTTTCCCGGGGAACCCCCCCTCATTTGTGTGGAGGCAGAGACACCCAGGGATCAGCATGAGGGTCGATGGAAAGCCATCTGTAGAGGTCCAATGCCTTAGTCCTTAGGGCCACTGGGCCATCTCAGTGACACAAAGATAGGACTGGTAAGAATGTATTTCAGAAAATGGGATCCAGGCTGTTGGTGGTGGGACTTTTGCAGAGAAATGCACTATGGAAAGAGAGTGGGAGTGAGAGGGGGGTGGCAGTAGAATACATATAGAACGGAAAACTGAGAAAAGATTCCTTGGTGCCCAGAGTTCAATGGTGGGTGGCATCATAGGATGCAGTGACTTTTACCTGCTTCCTTCCTGATGGGCGCCTCGCTTTTGCCACCGAACGCTTCCCAGTCCTCTTTCCCCCCAATCCTCATCTCGTTAGTCATTATTTTGTGTGAGCAGCATACAGCTTTTCTTGCTCCCTGGTTCCTTCTGAAATGGTAGATGACTTGTCTGGTTCTCATTGTAGAATTTCCATCACTGGGGTCTTGTGCACTTTTAAAGTTGATTATTAAAATGCGTCCACTGCAAGCATGATTTGTATTTTGCTCTACGGTCATGCTCCTAGCCTCCAGCAAATGTCAGTAAGTCACTTAATTTGAACATAGTGCAAGAGGAAAATATACTCTTGGTTTGTTTAAGAGGGGAGATGATGGTTTTCTTTAGTGTAAGTGGGTCTTTGGACTCAACTGGCATCACAAAACACATGTGGAAAAATTATGTTCTCATCTTCTTTGACTTATTTATGTCTTAGGAAGTTGGCCTTTCCTTTTCTTGGTTTCTCATGGATCCCTATCTCATTTACATAATCCGTGTCCCTTTTGTAAAACTGAATATCTTTGTAGATCAGGGATACTTAACCTTTTTTGTATCATTGATCTCTCTTGGAATATATCTGGGAAAACCCATGGACCATTTCTCAGAATCATGTTTTTAAATTATTGAAGGAAATGCTCAATTTCAGTTAGAATTTAGTGAAAACAAAGATGTAACTTTTTCCTCTTCAAGTTCATAGATTCCCTGAAATCTGTCCACAGTAGACTCAAAGCTAAGAACCCTTGATCTAGAGGACACTTAACAGCTCAGCAAAATGGCACCGTAGGAAGTCAATGAAACTCAGCACTGGGACAGAACCCAGAGGTCTTTGAGTTCATCCTGTACCTGGGAGAGCACACCTTCTATGACACACCCAGCAGTCCTAGGAAATGCAGGACAGTTTCTAGGGAAGCAGGATGATATCATTGCTTAAAGAAGAATTACCGGGGCCATTGGGAGAATAGGAATAATCGATTGAAAATTGGAAAGCATGGGCAGTCATCATAGAGGCCCAGCCTCTGAGAGTTGAAGGGTCCTTGGGATCTAACCCAACCCAGACCCAAACAAGAATCCACCCTACCACACCCCCAGCAAGTGGATATCCAGCCTTTACTTGAAGACATCCAGTGAGAGGAAGCCACCCACCTCCTCAGGCAGCCGATTAATTCACTTTTGGATGGTTCTGATTGTTAGGAAGTTTTCATTTCATCCAACCACAATTCTGCCTCTGCAACGGGTTTGGAGAAGTCAAGTTGGAGAAAGACATCTCATCTGATTTCCTTAAGAAGAAGGCCAATTAGCATTTGGCTGTTGTGAGAAACGTTACCTTCAATATTGATCGCTTGATTGAATCTCATCCTCTGCTTCCAAGAATATACTGATCAGTGGAAGAAGCACCCTTGTTCTATATGTCGCTTTGCAATACAGTCAGGGACGCTCGCAGTATTAACTAGAATTGTTTTAATTATTTTCCCTTAAATTTGTTGAACAGTGGCTCTGAATAGGGCTTATGTTTATGGTACAGCAAGGTATACTTGATAGAGCCAAGAGATTTGAACTCTAGTCCAGAATTTGCCACTAACTCATGGTGTGATCTTGGGAAACTAATTTCATCTTTCTTTATCTCTGAGATTAGGATGTTGGACTAAATGGTCTTTAAGGATTCTTCTCATTCAAAAATTCTTTGGAGTAGGCCTTGTTGTGGGTGACATTTAACAAAAAGGTAAACTGAGGCACATATTCATTCTCACAAAGAAAGGCAGAAGATGATCTAGGGTAAGAAGCAGTGTAGTAATCATGGAGAGCGTACTGTACCTGTACTGCACTGAAAGCCAGAGTCCCTGCCTTTGTTTCATACTATGTGTGTGATCTCCTGAAGCAGCCCCATTGTACAGTTCGGATAGTTAGAATGTTGGTTTCATTGTTTTCCTGTAATTAAGCTTCAGTCTACTTCCCCACAGCTTCCACAGCTGGGTCTGCCCTCTGGGTCCAAGCAGAACAACGTGGCCAATCTGCTTGCATTTTGATACCCCTTTAAATGCTGAACATCGACCATCATCTCCGCTACGATTACCTGGTGAACAAACTGACCAGAAACTTGCCCAGTTTCAGCACCAGATCTCTGTGTTTAAGTTAGCCATGGACTTTACCACAGTTCCAGTAAACTTGGTACTGTTTAGACACCACCTAATAGTCTGAGTGCAAAGAAAGGGGGGGGGTACTTGAGTTGAGTCTTGAAGGACAAGGAGAGTTTGGATTCAACTCAACGATTCACCTAGGGTTGATTAAGCGTGTAGTTATGTGCCAGGCGCTGGCTGGGTGACAGTGATGTCAAGACAAAAGCAATAAGGCCTTACCTTTAAGGAGCTTCCATTCTGCTGTCAGATGGGTGTAGGGAGGGATATATAACCGGATAATTAAGGACATGAACCAAGATAATTAAGTACTGCAGAGTAATTGAAAGAAAAGTAATGGTGAATGGGGTGATGGGGAAATGGTTAGCTTAGGAAGTGATACCTTTGATGAGATTCCAAGGGAGGTGGGAGGCAGGGATTGCTGTAGGGGAAGACAGGAGCAGAGGCTTTCCAGGGTGTTAGGGGCAGCCTGACTGGGATGGGAATGGGGATGGGAAATGGAACATCAAAAACAGGAAACGTAAGGCATAGGCTGAAGCTGATGTGCACCATCAATCTCCAAAGACTCCCAAGCCAGACTGGGCTCCAAATGCCCAACACAGGGGGCAGCTGGGTGATGCAGTGGATGGAGCTCTGGCCATGGAGTCAGGAGGACCTGAGTTCAAATCCGGCCTCAGACACTTGACACTTTGTAGCTGTGTGACCCTGGGCAAGTCACTTTACTCCAGTTGCCTTACCAAAAAAAGCAAACAAACAAACAAACGAATGCCCAACAAAAGTGTTTGCGTTTTATCCCATAGGCCACTGGGAGCCAGTGAAGGTTCTTCCACAGGCAGATTAGAGGCACAAGTGCCTCCTGTCTAGAGAGGAATACCTCTCCATCAGTGTTAGTCGCTGGTATGACTAGTCAATATTGGAGGAATGTTTTGAACCCAGCTCTTCCTTTCTCATAGTCCAACCCATTATGCCACAGTCACCTCTTTATAATAATACGTAAATCTTTATATTTGTGGCCATATTGGGTCCGTTCTTTTGAAACAAAATCCATGGCCTGCCAAGACCACACCCATTATGAACACACTGTCATGGCAAGAGACCTTGAGTGGCTGTGCTAGCTCCTGACATTCAGCACTCGGGTTTTTCAGAGTCTGTGCCACCATAACCACTTCCCTCCTCGTGCCCTAGAGGGAGGGGAGGGTGATCTGACTGTCCCAGGAGCGCCTCAGCCTCCTGACTTCTGTGGCTTGGAGAGACCATTTAACCTCAAGGCCTTAGTTTCCCCATCTGCATGCTGGGGATAAGACTGCACCATGTTTTTCTCTGTGTGGTTGGTTTAGTTAATATCGGTAAAGCACTTCCAACTTGAAAGGGACTGAAAGGAGAAATAAGCGTCCCCATCCAGGCATGCAAGCCTCATACATTACAGACAGTTACCAGGGTCCTTTGAGATAATGGGGGGCTGAGCTTCCAAACACTGGACTTGACTGATGCTGAAAATTTTGTCACAGTCAAGTATTTAATTATGACAATTCTTAATTTGTGGAAATTAGACTATTCTTGTTTTTTTCTCTCCCCTCCACCCTTCTTTGTCCTGAGCTATAACATTCTATAGTGTATTGAAGAAACAGGGATGATTTAGAGGCAGCTGTGGACGGACCACCGGGCGCGGAGCTGGAAAGCCCGGGTGTGAGCCCCGCTTCTCCCACCTCCTCTCCAGGTGACTGTGGACAAGTATAGGGCCCTACGTAGCTCACCTGTGATAGGAAGGTGACAGCCAGTGAGCTGCCTCCCTTACTGGGAATTTGTGAAGGCAGCACGAGGTCGGAGTCAGCAAGTGGCTAGGATCTTTGAATGACACTTCAGAGTCACCTGGAATACTCGGAGATGACCTGACCTTCATGCGAGGTCAAGTGTGCTTAGCTATGGCTACAGCACTGGAGTCACCTGAATAGAAAGGAGGATGTATAAAAAAGAAGTAGCAAAAATAAGATAGTAAAGGCAGTCGTGGTACAGCGGAAAGGTCTAGGAATCTGTAATTGGACGATCCGGGTTCAAATCCTGTCCTAGCTGTGTGACCTCCGGGGCAAGTCACTTCCAAAAAGTACGTCTCTGCTGGAGAATTTTAAAAAAGGACGACGGGGCCTTGGTGAGCTCCTTGCCAGCTCCGGTGCTTCAGTCCCTTCCCTCTCTGAGCCTCCATTTCCGCCTTCATTAAATGAGGGCATTGGAGCTGATGGCATCTGAGGTCCATTTCACCTTTAAACCTGTGATCCCAAAGGGGACAAGGATCTAAAATTATGAAATTCACTCGTCAGAGATGACCCCGGACCAGAAGGAGAAGGGAGGAGAGGAAGGACAGGAGCAATCACTAGGAAAATGCTTCCAAAACTGCGACGCCTGAACATGAGTGTAATTAAAATCACCCTTTACCACGTTGTGAAGGTTTCTCTGTGACGTGGGAAATGTTTAGTGGCGCCAGGCTCAGAATTTGCCTGCCTGCCTGTCTG